AGCTGAAAAGCTGCTGAATAATACTGAATACAGCTTGTATAGGAATGCCGCAATAGGTGTCGTATTCCTATAGGTAGATGTGATCAGCTGAGAATCAGCTGATGCAAGCTTGACTCACGTGACCTGCCAGAACTAACGCTAAAGCTTAATTTCAACCACATTATATCTCTGTTGCATTCTGTGGAATGCAAAACGAGACATTTAGCAGAATGTTCGAGCTGTTTTTTTTCCATACTTACAAAGGGACAAGCTCTATAATGATGAGCTATCCAAAGTTTTTAACCCTTTAACTGTCACTCACGTTTTTGAACATAGACGTGAAAGTGCACGATCCAAACTTACATTTTTATAATTCATGAACGAAAACATTTTGTAACATGATATTGATGTACCATTTTCATGGTAATGCAATGTTTGATTTTAAAATGGGTTTCAAAGGATGAATTTTGAGATTTAAAGTTTTCAATTGATATATAATTTCTGATGATTTCTAAAGTGTGATATAGTTTGTCATGATTAGATTAGGATTTAATTGTAATATAGTGAAGTAAACTTGGGCGTCCCACAGAGGGTTAACTGTATGTCGTTTTGAGTATTTTTACATCAATGGAGCCCCCTACAGTTAAAGGGTTAGTTCACCTAAAAATGAAAATTCTGTCATTAATTACTCGCCCTAATGTCGTTTCAAACCCATAAGACCTTCGTTCATCTTCGGAACACAAATTAAGATATTTTTGATGGAATCTGAGAGCTCTCTGACTCTGCATAGACAACAATACAACTGAAATGTTCCCAAGTCCAGAAACGTAGCAAGGAGATCGTTAAAATAATCCATGTGACATCAGGGGTTCAACCGTAATTTTACGAAGCTACGAGAATACTTTTTGTGAGCAAAAGAAAAAAAAGACTTTATTGAACAATTCGTCTCCTCCGCGTCACCCTAGCGCCATTTTGGAGAGTATCCACTGAACGTAAACAACGTATGCTGTTCTTTGTCAGCTGCGTCACGCCGGATACGTTGTTTTCATTCAGATCAAATCACAACAACGTAGGAAACAGATCCAGCGTGACGCAGCTATGTGGAAAATAATGCGTTTTTTAAACTTTAAACCGCATAAACACATTTCATTACACCAAATAATGTTATTTTTAGCAGCATCATATGACCCCTTTAAAATATAAACAGATTTGAGAGCATTAGGCTTCAAACATGACTTGCCGACTTTGTAAACGGTCATAGAGAAAACCTGGGCTTCATACTGTACAGTAACACACACTAACAAACTGTTACATCGTTCTGAACACAACAAACTCAGGCAGAAACATGTACCTTATTGAAACTCGAGACAAAGAAAAACAATGATCTTGCTCAAAATATCAAACAGGTCTGATATCTGCAGACTGAATGGAATCACCGTCTGAAGCTAAAACAAAACAAAACTGGGAGCCTGTACCCATCATAAATTCTGCTATTTTATGAGAAGTCTGTCAACTCCGACTGTCGAAATCTGCAGACTGTCCAGAAACATCATGGGCAAAAGTCATGTAGTTTTATTTCAGCCTTTAGTTGTTTCCATGTGTATCTCACCCCAAGTGCCATATAGATGCCCATCATCTTCGCTTTCACATGCTGTGATACAGCACACACTGGACTGTGGCACAAAGAGCCCACGATCTGACACAGTATCGGCCATTTGCTGTGGGTGTTTGAGGTGATGGTGATCACTGTCACCCCCTCGCCATGAGACACTGCCAGAGACATCCTGCAACTAATCAAAAATGATGTAATGATGTATCATCACTGTCAGTAATATGTTAATAAAATATATAAACTCTAGTGGAAAAAACGCAAGGTCCAGAGGAGCACACGGCACACTTTAAATATATGCAAATGTGTTTATAAATCTTTATAATTACGATAGAAATTTGTAACATTTAGTTCCTCCTCACACAAGTTATAGCAAGTAGCTCATTGTTGACTAGCTTCTTTATATCAACTGCGTTAAACCTGTGTGCTAAAATGTTGTTGAAATTAAGATGACACTTTTCATTTGACTTCACCACCGACACAATTATTCTTTTCCTACATTTACACTAGTATGTACGTTTTACAGATCGAATGTGAAAGAGTTAATCTCACCTTGTACGTGATCGAGTCAGTAACAATCCAGCAAAGTTTCACACCCTTTGTTTTTGTTAAATACAGAACTTTTTTTTTTCTTTCTCGGCAATGACGCTCCTTTCAATTTCCTAAAATGTAGAAGAGGAATGTTGTTTGTCTACACAACCCGCAAACTCATAAGAGGAGAAGGAAGTTACGAGAATGAAAGTATAGACCCAGCAAACAGGGGACGTCTATGGGGGTAGAATTGTTGCTTAATTCCAAATAAATAGATTATGATCCACAAATAAATCTTAGAGTTTCACAAACATGAATTCAATTCACAAATAAATAAAATGAGATTTGCAAATAAAAAACATTCACAAATATATATTTATGTCACAACCACAACTTTGCCTGGCATTTATTTGTGAATCGCGTCCTGTGCATTTGTAGATAGCTGCACGCATTTGTGAATCATGTCCTGT